ACCTCCATGGTCTACACTCCATCTCCATGGTCTACACTCCACCTCCATGATCTACACTCCATCCACGATGGTCTACACTCCATCCACCATGGTCTACACTCCACCTCCATGGTCTACACTCCACCTCCATGGTCTACACTCCATCCACCATGGTCTACACTCCACCTCCATGGTCTATACTCCAACCTCCATGGTCTACACTCCACCCCCAGGCCCACACTCCACCCTTCATGTCCACACTCCATCCATCACTCTCCATACACCATCCTCCATTCTCTCCACTCCACTCTCCAGATTCCACACTTGTTGTCCATGCTCCACACTCAGCCCTCCAACCACACGACATCCTCAAAGTCGCACACCTGTCATTCAGATCCACACCCTCTCCATGCCACATGCCCGATTCTCCAGGCTCCACACTCCATTTCCAGGCTCCACTCTGGCCTCCAGGCTTCACCCCCATCCTCTATGTCCACCCTCTTTCTTTACGGTCCACACGCTGCCTTCCAGCCGCATCCTCCGTTTTCCGTGCTCCCCTCTCTGTCCTCCATGCCCCACCCTCCACCCGCCAGGCTCCACACTCTATCCTTAGTGCTGCACACCCCCACTCAATCTCTAGGCTCCATACTCCATCCTCCACGACCCACACTCTGGCCTCCAGGTTTCTCACCGTCCTCCATGGCCCCCTTCGGTCTCCACTGCATTTCCAGGCTCAGAGCTCCACCCTCCAGGTCCCACCCCTCCTCCAGGCCTCCTGGTACATCCTTCAGGCCCTAAATTCTTTTTGATCATCTCAGAACACATCCTGCCTGCTCCACATTCTGTCTTCCATCCTGCTCCACACTCCACACTCCTCCCTCAGGTTCCTCTCAGTCCTCCGTGTCCCACACTCTGTCCTCCATGCCCCACTCTCTCTGTATCCCCGACCCCTCCTTCCGTCTCCATCCTCCGTTCTCTCCACTCCACGCCCCCCACTCCACCCTCCATGCCCACTCTCTGTCCCAGGCTGCCTGCTCATTTTGCCCTTAATGCTCCACACTTTCCTGCCTGCTGCACAGTCCCACATTTCATTTCCAACTTCACCTGCACCCGGAATCACCCACACTCCGCCCTCCTGCTCCACACTCCGTCCTGGAGGCTCAACACTCTCCTCCATGCTCCCCATTCCAGTCTTCAGTCTCTAAACTCCGTCCTGCAGGCTCCACACTCCGTCCCCTTTGCCCCACTTTGCCCCCCATGCTCCACACTCAGTCTTCCATGATCCACGCTCTGGCCTCCAGGTTTCTCACATCCTCCATGCCCCAGTTCATCTTCAGCCTCCTCACTCTGACCTCCATACTCCACCCTCCATCTTCCCACACCACACTCTGTCTTCAGACCCACACCCCCCCTCATATCCCAAGACATTTCCTCCATGATCTGCCTGCACCCTCCACACTGCACATTCCATCCTCCACGTCCACACTCTTTCCCAGGGTTCCTCACCTGCTCCATGCTCCATCCTTCAGCCTCCACACTCCATCTTCCATGCTCCAGGCTTTGCAATTCATCTTTCATTCTCTCCACCCTTTCTCCAGGTCCCACCACTCTGTCCCTCATGCTCCACACTCGGTCCTCCTTGGTCCACGCTTCATCCTCAGCATCCCACACTCTTTCCTCCAGGTTCCACACCTTCCGTGTGCCCCAGATTCCATCCTCGGATTCCATGCTCCATCTTCCATGCACCACACTCCATTCTCCAGGTTGCATGCTCCATGTTCCATGCACAGTGCTCCATGATCCACACTCCATGTTCAGTGTCCCACACTCAGTCCTCTGGGAACAGACCTCCTCCATGCCCCACACTCCTCCCTCCATGCCCCACACTCCATCCGTCACTCTCCACATTCTATCCTCCGTGCTCCACAATCCGTCTTCCAAGCCCCATACTCCGCCCTTCATCTCCCCACTCCATTCTCCACGCTCAGCCCTCAGCCCTCCAGCCACACTCCATCTCAATGCCCACACTTCAACCGCCAGGTTTCGCACCATCTCCGCGCTCCATGACTGATCCTCCAGGCTCCAGAGCATCCTTTATGCTTCACACTCCATTCTGCAGACTCCACACACCTGCCTCCTGTAGGTCCTAAATTCTGTCTTCATGCTCCAAATCTGTCCTCTGTCTCCATACTGCAGCCTCCGTACTCCACATGACATCCTGAGCCCCACTTTGTCCTCCATGTCCCACACTTCACACTCCAGGCCCCACACTCCATCCTTAACGCTACACACCCCATTCTCCACGCTCCACACTCACTCCTACTCGTCCACACTCTGTTGTCAGTGTCCCACACTCTGTCCCCCAGGTTCCACACCTTCCTCCATGCCCCAGATTCCGTCCTTCCCTCTTCACACTCCCTTCTCCCAGTGTACCCTCTATTCCCAGGCCTCACTCTCGTACTCCAGGGGCCACATTCAGACCTCTGGGCTCACTCCCTCCTCCATGCTCAACTCTCTGTCCCGCAGGTGCCACATTTCATTCTCCAGGCTCACACTCCCCTGCATGCTCCACACTCTGTCTTCTGTCCCCCACACTCCGGTGGCAGCTCCACACTCCATTCTTTGTGAACCACACTCCATCCTCCAGGCTCCAGACTCTAAATTCCCTCCTGGAGGCTCCACACTCTGTCCTGACCTTCAGTCTCCACACTCCATTCCCCTGGCTTCGCCTCCTGGCCCATGTACCCCCAACTCTGTGAGGACAGGCCTCACACTGTCCTCCATAAGCACATGCTGGCATCCGTATGTCACCCTCCATCTTCCAGGTCCCACACCCATCCTCCAGGTTCCCCACGGTCCTCCATGGCCCAGGCCTGACCACAGTCTCAACACTCATGTTCCACACTCTGCTCTCTGGGTTCCACAAACCGTCGGTCGCCCATGCTCCTCACACGGTCCTTTATCCTTTCCACTTTCTTCTGGTTCTCCACGGTGCCCTCCATGCTCCAACCTCCATCTTTCAGGTCCCAAACCCTGCCCTCCAGGTTTCACCAAAGCCCTGTGCTCCTGCACACTCTCCACACTCTGTCCTCCATGCCCAGACTCCATCCTTCAGTCTCAACCATCCATTTCCCAGGCTCCGTCCTCCATTCTCCACACCCTACTTTCTGATCTCCAGGCTCTCCATCATTCTCCGTGCCCCACACTTCACACTCCAGGCTCCAAACTTCCTCCTGTGCTCCATGCTCTGTCCTCCATGCTCCACATTCTGTCCTTCAGTCCACATTGCGTCTCCGTGCTCCACATGCCACCTTCAGCCTCACGCTTAGTCTCATGCTTTGTTTTCCATGCCCCACAATTCATACTCTAGCCTCTACACCCTCTTCTCCAAGCTCCCCGCTCAGTCTTCCCTGATTCACCTCCATCTTCCACCCACAGACTCCATCCTTCATTCTCCACACTGCATTTTCCAGGCTCAACACGGTCCTCCAGACAGTGCACTCTGTCCTCCAGGTTCTGCACCCTCCTGCATGCTTCATGCTCCATCCTCCCACCCCATCCTCTTCTCTCACAGTCAGCCCTGCGTGACAGCCACTCCATCCTCCATGTCCCACGCTCCATCCTCCATGCTCCCTACTCAGTACTCCATGATCCACACTCCACACCCAATGTCTCACACTCAGTCCTTCAGGTAACGTCTCCTCTCCATGCCCCATTTTCCATACTCCTTCCTTTATGTGTCGCACCCTGTCCTCAGTCTCTACACTCCATTCTCCATGTGCCACACTCTGTCCTCCAGGCTCCACCCTGTATTCCGGCATGCTCCACACTCATGCTCCAGGCTCCACCCTCCATCCTCCAGTTTCCATACTCTCCACGCCCATGCTGGATCCTTCCGTCTCCAGTTCCATCCTCTATGCTCCACACTCTGTCTTCCCACCTCTCCA